TTATTATTATTATTATTATTATTATTATGTTGTAATGATGTCGTTTGTACTATTCTTTAATTTTATTAAAGAGGGCCCCTGAATATCAGTTAACCTACTGGGCTAAACTAGAAGGGTTACGGTACCCTCTATTAAGATGGTTGAAATAAAAAATTTAAAAAAATAAAAATAATAAATACCCACTCTGACTCAAGACCCCTGTTACGCACCTGGTGTTAGCGCCAATGTGTGCCCTTGTGCGGACAGGTGATGTGCCCCCCTCTGAAGCTGGAAACTTCAAATAAATTGATGCAATTTGCTATTATAGGCCTAATCAATAAATTCCCCATCAACCGATATAACCTTAAACATTCTTGGAATTGACATAACATTACTGATGTCGTACACACACTTCAGTGTGAAATGTGGCTCTCTTTGCAAGCACATCTAACATCTAAGGAAAGAAGAGCTTAGATTGGTACCAGATAAAATAATTTTGCTATCAACATTATTACGGTACATTATGCTAATTTTCATCTTTGTAAGCACAAGACAGTGCAAATTATGAATTTGCACTTGCACTGCAATGATACAATGGACCACCCCCCCCCCCAGTCAAATATTGGGGGGATATATGCACTGCAATGATACAATGGACCACCCCCCCCCCCAGTCAAATATTGGGGGGATATATCCCACCCCCGGGATCTACGCCTATGTACAGCATGGTCCATTTATATTCCTGATTCCTCAGACATATTTATATCAATTAACTTTAGGTAAGTTACGATCTGTGTCTATAATTAATCTAAATGTTATTTAAGTTTTCGAGTAACAAAAATATTCGTATAAGTGAATACGAATTACTAGTACACTGTAGAACATTAAATAGACTCTCATTCAGTACAACATTTCATGTTAATAGGAATGCTTTAACGAGTTTAGTCTGGCTTTAAACACAAAGGAATTTAAAGTATCGTCCAAATGTCTAGAAACACGGTATAATATGTTATATTTATATAGCGCTTAATACCAACAAGGCCCCTAAGCGCTTCACATTACTACCACCGGTCATTGGATTAGACGCCTATGGAACACAAACTGTTCCATAAAGTTTTAGCAGCTACATCAGCGCATTTTGGCATTTAACCCTACCAGGTACCCATTTATAAATACTCCTGGGTGGAGAGAAGCAATGTACCATACTGTAGATAAAGTGCCTTGCCCAAGGACACAGGTGAAATGCACAGCTATTAAGTTTGCTGACGACACTTGTCTAACTGGTCTAATATAAAAAAAAATGGCATATCCTTGTTCAATTACTATGTTGAATCTTTTATTGTATGGTGTAAGGAGAATTTTCTTGTAATAAATGCCAAAAAGTCTAAGGAAGTTATTGTCAACTTCAGAAGGAAAAATAAAACTATTCACGAAAATATTGTAATCGATAATGAGAATGTGCAAATTGTTGAAAGACATAAGTACCTGGGACTGATTACCGGTATTGATAATGAACTTAAGTAACACTAAAGTACTCCGTACTAAGGTAAACAAACGAATTTATTTTGTATATAGAATGAAACGGTTTAATTTTAACTCTCATCTTATTCATTTGTTTTATTCCTTAGTTGTTCTGTCAATCCTTTCTTACTGTATTATTATTTGGTTTTCTCATATCACCGTAGAAATTGAAGGTAAACTATCGAGAATTGTTAACAAGGTTGGCAGAGTGATTGGAGCCGATGTGAAACCCTTAAAAGATATCTTTAAAAATGTTATACTTAGGAAATTTAATTTAATTATGCAAGACTCATCCCATCCATTATACTCAGACATTATCGTAAATAGATCGGAAATGGTTAGACTTAAACAACACAAAATATCAACAACCATTTCAGACATTCAGCATTGTACATTGCTTGAAATTTATTTAATCAAAAATTAAGAAGATAACTACACAAATTCCAATTTTTATAATACTAGAGAATTTTTAATTGATATTCATCACATCTATAAACGATTCTATTTTATGTACAAAAATATCTCAGAATTTTTTGACAATAAAGTTGACTTGTATCTTGTACCTTGTATTAACATGTATAGCTATTCAATGCTGTTTTTGAATTCTTTTCGGTTTTACAGATTTGATTTTAGTTGATCCTCCTAAAAATGATTATGGAAAAGAATTGGCTGATTGTCCTTGTCTTACTTTCCACTGCAGCATTCGGTATGTATCGATCAACATAATTAATTTTTCAACAATTTTTAATTATCTAAAACATATCTTTACAGAATTATTAATATATTATTATTATTATTGTTATTATTATTATTATTATTATTATTATTATTATTATTATCATTATTATTATTATTACTGTATTATTATTATTATTATGTTATTATTATTATCATCATTATCATTATTATTCTTATTGTTAATATTATCATGATTATGATTATTATTTTCATTATAATTCCCATCATCATTATCATCGTGGTCGTCTCCATTGTCATTATCATTATCATAACAATATCATCATCATTATCATTATGATGATAATGATCATTGTTATTATCAATATAAGCATTATTAATCATTATCACCATTATCATTTCCATAATGATGAAATTAGATATGTTTTAAGTTTCATTTATTCACCACATACTCATAGTTACTAACCTAAGAGATTTGAAATGCGTGAGTGACGCCACCAGTTGGGTGGGCGGGGCGGTGGAGGGGATGCTGCGACGATCTGAAGATTTGTTTTTAAACGATTTCAGGGAGTGTTTGTACATGACGTTGATTGAAATTTTGAAAAAAATTGAAGCATGAAATAAAAAGTAGATTGCATAAGATAAATATTATCAAATAAATAAAATATACCATTCTGCTCCGTTATTGAACTTGGCCAAACTATCCTTGTAATGTAATTTTAAATGATAATAATAATAATAATAATAATAATAATAATAATAATAATAATAATAATAATAATAATATTAATAATAATAATAATTTCAGCATTATTACCTTGGACTAAACCTTGTAATGAAGAACCATACTATTTAATAGGCCTATAACTAGCCCAAGGGAATATTTTTTGTGTTATTTCCGCTTCCGTCGATTTTTTAATTGCCCTCTAATTCCTCCATTGTCTAAGTCCCCTTAAGGTAGGCCTACAGGTTGGGTTTTATAGTAACATAATAATAATTAATAATAATTATAATAATAATAATAAATAAATAATCATTTCTTCATTACATAACTTGTTAGCTTGGTCTAGCCTCGTAATCAAGAACCTGCAGATTACTATGCCTGATATTATTAACTAGGCTTAGGCCTCTTTTATACATTCATTGTTGCTCTGCCATTTTGGCAGGTCTTATGGCATCCAGTATTTTAGAACTGTCTATTCTCAGCTCTTAGTTTGAAAATACAGTAACTGTCACCCTGTTTCATTTGATGAAGAAACGCCCCGAGAAACGCGCTTTTCCTTAGTCTCTGTGTTCCCAGAAAGTGTGTTTTTAATAGTTATTAGGCCTAGGTAATTATGTAAAACCCAGACCTAACTAAAAAATAAAAATTGTCACAGCATGTAACTCAATTTAAAATAACACTTGTCATTACTCGTGCAGCTCAATCAAATATTATATTCCATTGGTATTAGCATGGTAACATCAATGTATTTTCAAAAATTAGACATGCGACGTTCTACAAATGACCTTTGACCTGAATTCTGATGAGATTTTCGGGTCGATTCAGTCGAGACGGCCCGAGTGGAGTTTCATGTAAATGTTTCGTACGGGAAAAAAAAATCGCGAACCGTCCAGCACGATGCGAGACGGTAGGTAACTATGACTACCAGATGCTTAAAGATAAATGCTAGAGTGGTCGATTGATGTATAAGAGCAGAGCTCGAAAGTAACAGTCACACTGTGTTCAAAACATATTTAACCTATGGTAAAAACATATATAACATATATAACCTATGGTAAAATAATATATATATATATTATTTATATTGTAGTTGCTGCTTCAACAACTCAAGCCCCAGGTAAGTTTACAAAAAATATCTTACTATGTAACCTAAGGAATATGCCTTTTTCACGAATCGGTAGATATCTTGAAGTGATGACAAGCATTGCGAATCAGCGATGCGTAACCAACAGAAATAAGATAAGCTTTTGGGCAGATTTTCTGACATCATGTTATTTAAAAAACCATAACTCCATAACGGGGCGTCGTTTCCAAAACATTTTTCCAGGAAAATGTTCTTAAAAGACCAGTCTACATAACTATGGAGTTATGATTTTTTAAATAACATGATGTCAGAAAATCAGCCCAAAAGCTTATCTTATTTCTGTTGGTTACGCACCGCTGATTCGCAATGTTTGTCATCACTTCATGATGTCTACCGATTCGTGAAAAAGGACTATTTAAGAATATAACATAATTGTGGTAAACAGTGGCAAGCCGTAAGTAATTTGACTGGGATGCAAAAGATTTGTAGTTGCACAGCTCCAACGTAAATTGCCACCTTAAATATTAGTACAGTATGTTCAAAAAACAAATGTAGTAACCTGTCAGAATTATTTTGTATACTTTGGTTGTTACTACAACTCAAACCCCAGGTTAGTTTACAAGCAACATATTAGGCTAAGTAGTATAAGCAATAGCACAATGTGGCTACCAGTGGCGAGTCGTAGAGTAATTTGAAGTGTATGCAGGAGATTTTTGAAGTATGCTGTTGCAGAGCTCTTTTCGTTGTTTTTATGGAAGCTTGATAATCCCTTTTGCATCTGTTGTGCATACATTGCTTCCCAGTCCGGTCCGTTACTGGCAACAACATCTAGTTCTTTTGGTAAAGGATTTTGAGTCTCTGCTTTCGTTGCAAGTATTGAATTCTTTAAAAAATATTATGATGATGATGTAGATGATTTTCAACTATTCTATTTGGCGTAGAAAAATATTTTTCATTGGGGGGGGGATGATTGGCGTTTTAGCCAGTGTCGTAACAGACGCGGGGGGGGGCAGGGGGAAAACTGCCCCTCCCTCCCTTGACGGTTTTTACCGGGCTGCCCAAGCCATCGTACCGGGCTGGGTAATAAGAGAAAAGAAAGGGGGGAGGGAAAGAGAAAGAAGAGGAAAAGAAAAGGAAAGAAAAAGAGAAGAGAAAAATAAAGACAAGAATAAAAAGGAAGATATCATAATGACCAGACTCAAACACCCATGCAACCCCTTCTCCACTTCAAAAACTGTCATAACTCCTTTGATCTATGCTGCCCGATGGCGTAACCACTGGGGGACAAGGAGAAAATATCTATCTTTGAAAAATCTTCCCCACCCCCCATCCTTTATAAATGCCCTTTCATCCCCTGAGAGTACCTAAAACCTCAAATTTCGCGCGCATTTCTTGTTAACATGGCCCAATTTCCTCTAAAAATTGCACATTTTAGGGAGTTTTGATCAATTCCAACGAAATTAGAATTAAAAACATCGGGGGACAAGGGGAAAATATCCATCTTTGGAAATCTTTCTCCACTCCTTGACAAATGCATCCTCAGAAAGTGCCTAAAATTCTCAAATTCTTTGCGCGCATTTCTTGTTACCGTAGGACAATTTCCTCTATAAATTGTACATTTTAGATAGTTCTCATCAATTCCGACGAAATTAGAATTAAAAACACAAAAATATTTTTAGGGCTTTTTTTAGTTTTATCCTTTTAAGTTATTTAAACACATAATAGTCCCAAACTCAAGAAAGACAAATTTAAGATAGATCATTTAAACCTAAAAGAAGGGCCTCAATGTGTATAGATGGTGAAAGAATGTGTTTGTAATAAATACAACCATGATCAAAATGCTTATATTTAGTTTCAAACACACGTGTGTGGCCTATATTATAAATAAGATAAGCCCTTTGTCGTATTGTTTCCTATATTGGGAGTGGGGTGGGGTGGGTATGGTAAATTACTAACCGGGAAATTA